CATAGATACATAGATACATACATACATACATACATACATACATACATACATACATACATACATACATACATACATACATACATACATACATACATATAGACAGACAAACATACATACATATATACCTACATACATACAAATTGATCTATATTTATATGTATATATATAGTCACTGCAAGGATATATCATAGGTACATGCATGTATAACGGCAGATTATATTCACAAACACTCACTCAAAGTGAAGACCAAGCGTATAAGCCAACTACAAATGTTCATGCACACTCACTTTCTGCAGAGGAGGAAGATCAAGCCTGCGCCCACCTCCGACTTGTCTCATTTCACACAAGGCGAGCGTAGCGTTCTGGCAGCAGTGCCTGTGCCGAAGCGGTAGGTGTAAGTGTAAAAGAGCGGTAGGCATATGTGACCATAAGGTTTGTAAGAGATGGTTATACGTGTTTATAAGCGGTAGGAATAAGAGTTTATAATGGTCGGTATGTGCGTATAAGAGGTAGGTATAAGAGTTTTTAAAGCGATTTTAGGGTTTAGGGGTTAAAAAGTGTCATGCGTTAGGAAGGGTGGGCATGGTAGTTGTACATATGGGGTAGACACAAAGGTATCTAGACGAATGGTATATGTGTACGTAAGCGGTATGTGTCAGAAATGGTTGACAAAGTGGTTGTATTTAAGGGGTAGGCACAGAAATATATAGACAAATGGTATATGTGTACGTATGGGGTATACTTTAAAGTGGTTGACAAAGTAGGTGTGTTTAAAAGGTGGGCACAGAAGTATTTTACGCAGGTGGTATGTGTTAAGAAGGGTTGACAATGTAGTTGTACTTAATGGGTAGGCATAGAAGTGGTACATGCATGTTTGTGAACGAGTTAGGTCTTTGTGTGCGTGTGCACAGGTGGGAGGTACATGGATGTACACACCATGTGTGCTAATATTGTCTCTTTGATAACTATGTGGTTGAAAGAGACCAGAGCCATATTGACAAAGGAGCACACCTACAACCTCTCACTTTCTACTATTAATTCCTCTGGACACTTGTATTTTTAGTTCAGTTATCTTCTTAGTGTCATAAATTTAGCAACGCAATCCAATCTCTGTTCAGCAGAAAGTAGAAGCTGCACCGTACTGGTTAGTTTGTATGCCTGAGGAGTTGTACTACCACTAATATTGACCTTTTTCGACGGGGGTTTGGGCCGATAGAAAGAAGGCCTTGCACCCGTTTTGGGTGGCTGCAGAGTCCAAATTCAAGACACTGGTGAAAACTGACTTACAATGCCTCCACCCTACAGTCCTGGTATGAGCCCATGTGAACTCTATAAACTTGGTTTACGTACGCGTAGAATACACTAATTTGGCGTAAACCCCAATTTGTTCGTGCCCGAGCCGATTTGGGGTTTCCTCTGTGTTTCAGTATTCAATGTCTGCAGAACACATAGTTTTCCTTGACTAATCTGTAACCGATTTCAGGATTTCGTCCAGTTTGTATCTTCAATCTGACATCGTACACAACCTAATTTGTATACATGTGATAATTTGATTTGTCGAATTATTGTGAGTTTTGTTAGATTTTTGTGAACTTTTCGAATTATTGTGGTTATCGATGGACCGTCTTTCTTTTCCTACTGAGACGTTTCCTTGCAACTGTGTACCAGGCACCGGAGCTTTTAGATCTGCCGCCGCTCGGGCCAATCTACACCATACAATGGGACATCGCAGACAAACATGCGAGCGATATAGCTATACAGTGTCAAGGTATGTATAATGACAGTCCAATTCATTCGTTCATTTTAAAATCAAGTTAAGGGATATATATATAAATATACACATACGTATTTATATATACACACACACACACACACACACACACACACACACACACACACACACACACACACACACA